TATATCTCCTTATTTTCAATGAAAATATGAATTCATTCACAGAAACATATCAGAAAGTGTCTCACATGAACAGCTTGGAAGCAGATATGTTAGTTCAATGGGCATAAAGTCATGTCTCATCACACATGGCATAAGGAAATTATTTTATTAAGAGCAAACACAAATTAGTCTGGCATGACACAAAGAATTTTAGTAAGAACTGGTTTTGCTACTTAATGGCCTGATGTGATAGATAGTAATCATTAAAGGAATTCTCAAAAAATAATGGTTAGAGCTCCTAGTTGTCAGACAGGCAATATAAGGTACTGCATGACTCAAGTTACATGCATTTCCAGTCCTTTCTCAGGAGGGAAAAGTCAACAGAAAGCTAGAGCCACGGGAGGAACCCGTGCTCCACTCTGGCTAGACTCACTGACTATTTCTATTCCCTCCTGATAAGAAAAGGGAGACAAATTTACATAAAGAAATGGACCAGACATTATATATCTCCCTCACGAAATAGGCGGACAGGTAGTTACTTCAGAGGCATTTTACATATAGAAGCATCGTGACACCTGAATACAGGTTTCTCTCTAGAATAGCTCAAACAAAACAGATCTGGAGTGAAAGCTATCAGGCCAGTTGAATGAAGAAAATTGTAGTAAACAGGGGGTGTGGTAGGCAAACTAATGTCCCCTCAAACCTGTCCACATCTGAGTCTCCATACCCTGGGAATATGTCGCCTTACATGGCAAGGAGGAATTCGGTTGAGAAGCGCCAGTGCAACCACTATGCCAGCTGCTGGCACGTCTGCCAGAGCAGAGGAACGTGGTCTCAGGGCTACAGGGTGTGGATGCTGATCTGAAAACTGCATCCTTTCCCAAAGCTAGCAGAGAGGATATTTAGAAAGTTTGTAATTACCTGGACTGGACACCGAGGCTATGTCGACCGTCCCTCCGTCTGTCATGGTATAGTTTGGAGCGACGTGCATCAAAAGACCCTGCAGAACACCACACCAGTCTACTATGTTATTAAGGATCTAGTGTTTGGGGGCAGAGGTCAGAACATACAGCTTGTGCATCAAATCCAGCCTACCACTTGTTTTGTGCATAGTTTAGTTGGAATGCAGCTACACTCATTTTTTTAAATGTCTACGGACACTCTCATGTGACAATGACAGAACTGAGTAGTTGTGGCTGAGACTGCATGACCACAGCCTAAAATATTTACCATCTGGCTTTTACAGAAACAGTTTGCTGACTCCCCACCTCCATCTTGGGCATGCTGGGATCTCTCTCCAAATACACAGTGCCTGGTAAGCTTCTGTGGGTTCTGGAGGCAGCCTTTTCCACACTTAGGAATAGAGCTGTGACCGTATATTAGGTAACATGTAAGGCTTCATCCAGCTTTGCACAGGGCCCAGAGCAAACGAGGGCTCTCTGGGGGGTCTGGATGGCAGATGAGTGGTCCTTCCCCTTGGACTATACAGCCCTGCAGACTCTTTGCTCATAGTGGTATCATTGGTGGGGAACATGCAATGCACACTTCATTGGCAGTCACCACTGGAAACATGACATTGCAGAAATTCAAGGCTTGGGAGTAAAGCCATGCCATCTGCAGCAGAGAAATACACGACTCTCTAAACATCACCTAGCACACTGCTGAGCCCCGTAGAGATTAAGTGCCTCACCACGGGACACAAAGTATGAGTGGACCTGTCCATAATAAGCTGCATTCTGTCAGATTCACCGAGTCACGGAGCCACTATAATCTGGAAATGGTGCATCTGGGTTAAACATGAGGAGTACAAACAAGCTGCACGAGTCACTGGCCCAGATCCCAGTGTCACCTATTGCACCTCCCCCAGGGCACTTTCCTTAGCTCACGTTTCAAGTTGCATAAATGGTCCCTTATTATCACCTGCTTGGAGAAGGGCAAGGTATGTACTTGGTGCACAGAGGGGCTGACTTAGAATGTGGTACAGGCTGAAAATGGAAGGTAGCACCACTGCCGTCCCCGTCAGGGTGGCCTGGGCAGTGGTGAGGAGGAAACCCTCCTGATGAGCAGGGCCCTTGGAGGGTGCCATGGTCATTCACTGTGTGTGAAGGAAGTCGCCCAAGGTTATTATACAGAGGGACTTACGAGCAGGAATTTGGCCAGTTTGTGAGAGACCTAGAAGGAGATTTGGAAGCTTGGAGATGAGAAGGTCTGAAATGGAAGCAAATGGATGGATCTGTGGGAGTGGGCGTGGAGAGGAAAGATCTCCGGCCACCAGAAAGAATTATGCTGCTGCGGGCGAAGTGCTAAACAGCCAGGCAGATGAACGACGCAGCCAACTGTGGTCAACCAACCTCAGCCACTGGCCGCTGAAGTGCCAGGACCATGGGTCATGAGCAGGGTAGCCGTGGAGGCAGGGAGGGAAGCTGTGGCTCATCACGCAGCATGAGCTCCTGTCATCAGGACTGATGTAGCCACTGCCCCTCCTGAGTGTTCGAATGTCAGCAACAGAGACCAGTGTTTGGTCCCCACAATGGTTCTCTTCACAAGGACACCGGTTTTGCAGGAAGATGACTACACTAGTTCTTCTCCACCCTGAGAGGATCAAAGATTACTTCTGATTAGAATCATCACTTATTTCAGGCATGGGTTGGCTTCACTGCCTGCAAGGCATCAGCGACACCACCTCTGATGGTATGGTAGTGAAGGGCCAGTGTGCTTGCCCCACACATCTTTGGCTGTGGTGTGGACCCTCGGCTGATGCAATGTTCTGTGGGAGGCTAGGTCAGGGGGAAGTGTCCCAGATCAGTCATAAGAAACAGAGCCACTGTTACACCATGGGGACAGGGAGGAATATGTTTGGCATGTAGATGCTCCTTTGACCAATTTTCATGGTAAATGCAAAACTCCAGCAGCTACAGCCTGAGACGGTCATCTGAGCAGCACAGGGGTGGGCCCTGGGGGATGCTGGACTGTGCCCCCCAGATCCCTGTTTCAGGACTGAGCAGTTGATTTTCCCCAGAGGCTGAACTACCATTCATGAAGTTCATGCCCACACCCCAGATAGTCAGCAACCAAGCCTGGCTGAGACAAGAGAATAAAGCCCAGCCCCTTCACCCCGACTCAGGACCCTCGTGGCAACTACCCCACGGCCCATACATGTGGATCTCAGCAGAACTCCCGAGCACATTTCCTTCATGACAATGTCTGTCTCAGAGTTTGCTTCCCAGGGAACCCAGCCTGTTCCAGCATGTAAGTAAGAAACACAGAGGTAGCTAAAAAGAGACCATCAAAGCGTCGAAAGTGGCAGGGAAGGGATATGGCAAGGAGAACTTATTTTTCCTTGTAAGAGTTCTCATACTATTTGATTTTAAAATGTATTCACATATTTTTAACAAAAACGTAAATATAAAGGTATAAATAGGGAAAAAGATTTTTTAAAAAAAGATCGTACTGGAGGAGCCATTATACTTGCAGGTCAGACTGTTTTCCATTGCATTTTGTTCCCATTTGCAAATCTTCAAAACCAGGCTTCAGGAAAGCTATTGATTTACTCGAAGTCCAACCCTCTTACTATATTATTTGCAAACTGTTCCATATTCCCCTTCTCCTCATTTCACATTCTTTCTCGTGCACTTCCATGTGCGCACTCACACACATTCCCGGCACCCAGACCGTCAGCATCGGAACATGCTCTTCCCTGTCACCACCCCATCACCCGAACTTTAGAGAGGCAGACCACCAGGACAGACTGAGGGTCTCTCATGGATCAGGAAGCCAAAAAATCAACTGAATGCATCTTGATGAAAATGCCCATTCATCTTTCTTCTACCATAAGGGGACTACTTGATGGCTCAATCAGTCCCATCTAACTCACACTGTATATTTCACATAGACCACAGAAAAGTGTAATTGTCTCTCCTGGAGTCCAGGACCACAACCGTAATAAATATTTTTAAAGAAAACCAAATCCATCAATGGTAGTGACCTATCAAATAAAGGTTTAGGTTCATTTTATAAGGCTTTGGACAAGATCTAAAACTGCAGGTTACTCTGAACGAAGAGATACTGAGACTCTTCAAAGTTTCTGCACCGCTAAATAACTGTCAGAACTCCAGGTCTTAGAAGTTCTAAGATCAGCAACATGTGGAGTTAAAAAGGAAATGCTAGTCACAGCTTCATTATTTATACACTGCGCCATGTCGCTCTGGGGACATCACCTCATGTATCTGCGTCTCGGACATTTCCCCTGTAAAGCTGAGCTGTTCGCATTAATATATATTATTACATAATAACACATCAGGGCTCTCCAATTGCGTGATGGTCTGTGTTCCAGGATTCTGTTACATATGATGGACAATTCCAGCGAAATGATTTTGAACGACTTCCTTCTTTTTGATTGGCCCTTTTGTTGGTTCTTACTGTTGAACTTACCATCAATAGAATTGATTACATGTGTTCTAAAGAGCAACACTTGGGAAAGGCTTAAAGAAAATGCAGCCATTTCTCAGACTGGACAAGGGCCATTCTAGGGCCAGGTTTCTACAAAATTCAGGTGTCGTTTCCCACGGATGAGCCCCACTTCATAGAGGCAAGTCTTCCATGCCAGTAGCTCTGCTCTATTTGCACACTGCACATTTGATTTGAATGAGATTGGGAAAGTCAGGCCTCTCAAAGAGGACTTCCATATTATTCTTCCATAAAATCCTGTGCATTTATATTGGGCTCACTGACTAAGCTCTCTGCAGAATTAAAAGGACATCACCGAATTCAAATATATAAAACCTTTCAACAAGCAATTACTGATGGTCAAATCATTGCCTCTGCCAAAACTTTAAATCTAGTTTAACCTCTTTTGGTTGTTACAACCAATAAACATTTTTCTATATTTTTTCTTTCACTTTTGTATGCATTTAAAAGGAAAAATACACGATAAATGCAGTTTTTGTTAATCACTCATAATAATCACAGCATGTACCAAAAGGTTTTTAAAAAAACACACACACACCAGTAGAAAAGGGGAACATCTACACATCCTTTTACTGTTTTAAGAAAATGAAAATTCAGTATAATTCCCTCATTTTAAACTTTTATACAAGTCTCTTAAAATATATTCTGCATTTTACTTCAAAAATGCATTTTATTAAGAAAAAAGAAAGAACAGATTACAAATCAGGAAATGAAAATCATGGCATATGATGTATCAATGCATTTTGATGCCATAATGGAATTTCTAGCAGAGCAGACCACAGTATACAGTGAGGCTTCACCATCTATATAACCTGTCTACCTTCCCGCCCAGCTTAATGCTGCTCCTAAATAACATGAGCACTTGTAAAAGATTCAGGGCTGTTATGATGTTTGTGTTCAGCTTGGCATCAAATAAAAACTACCATTTCTGTGTTACATCCTTTGCTAGCCACTACAAGTCTTTCAGTTAAAAAAAAAAAAAGCCATTTATCAACATAGGTCCCTTCGTAAGCTACTGTGTTAGTTCATGTCCTTAAGATTTAATCAGGCATTTACAGAAATATAAAAATGGATCCAGTGCTATATAATATAAAGACAGGCAGCTTTTGTAAGGAGAGCTAAGAACAAAAAGACAGCAAATAAGATGCTTAATTTACATATTTCCAAATAGTTCTGATGTGGAAAAACTAAGGAATCCAATTTTTCCTTGGCAGGTACCTGGACAGTATGAGTAGAAATGACAAAGTGCATTTATTATATAATTGGCTTATGGAATTTAAGGATAACTACATGCAAGTATCTTGATAACCTTGCCTCAGAATTAATTATGGCAATAGTTTCATAAGGTTATTGATAATTCTTTAATCTCCTGGTGTATATATATATATATATATATACACACACATATATATATTTACACACAGACACACACTGACTAGAATGCACTAGTTTGTAGGTTATATTGATTTTTGGTACTTTTTGAAAAATTTACCCCATCATTGTAAATGAGAAGTGACTAGAATGGCAGACTTAATATAGATCATGTAATATCATCACCCCTTAGAGAGATCACCTTTAATCACTCCACTGGTTTGTAGAAAGGGGGCATGGTTGCAGCTTATATTTCAAAAAGTATATCCTAGACATCAGTGCACTGCAGAATGTGTGCCTAAAGGGGTATATATTTTAGGATGGGGAATGGAGCTCTACACTTCAAACTGTCCCTTTTTTCTAATACATAAAGAACATGTTCCACAGAATATAGTCAAGGGAGATCAAAGAAAAGTTGGTGATAAACTTTGGAAAAACAGAACTATAAACCTGTAAAGAAAACTGACATAAGTTTTGGGGAAAATAATCTCAGAAGTATATTTCATTCGAGATATTACAGTTGTAAATAAAATTTTCTTGCAGTGTTAAGAATTGTGTTTTTTTTTTTTTGTATCCACAAGTTTAGGTGCAAACCTCTCCCATTCTTTGGGAAATTGGCCTTCCCCAGGATCTTAACTGTTGCCACTACCAAACAATGATAGCAAATTAAAGAGAAAATTTTTAAAAGGCAAGACTTCACACGCTGACAACCAATGCACTTTCTGAGTCTCATTACCCATGAATTTTTATGTTCAGAGATGAAGTCTGACACTCAAAACCCAACAGATTCAAAACCATTGAGAAAAGCCAACTACAAAAAAGAGCAATACAAACAAAACAATGACAACAAAACATGTTTCAAGACTACTGATAAACCATATCGAATGTAATACGGAGAAAGGCAAAGGGGTTTGTATGCTTTTGGCCACTGAAGATGCAAACACCAGCCAAACAGGATCGCGGAAGCATTGCCAGGTCTGTGCGGAACACCACGGGAACACTAAAGCAAACACAGCAAATGTTCTCAAATAAAGCAAGGTCATTATAGTCCGATTTTGATGGTGACCTCCAACAAAATTAGGTATCACATGGTTGAGAGACCAGGGCTACAGTTTTCACGTTTAAAAACTGCAGTCATCAAGTCAGTTAAACTTCCGTTTTCGATCATATCAGAACAGTAGGAAATTAACAGCAATTCTAATTCCTCGTTATATAGGGTGACTTCTATGGGAAACACGTCACTGGATGAGGCCTCCTGGAGCCACCTCAAGTCTGGATATGGCAAGATGGCAGTGCTGCAAATCCATTGCCTGTACATTCAGTGTGAGAACATTTTTGTGTCCGGTGAGAGCCCCTGGCTTTTAAAACAGACTGTTAGAATTGTAAATTAAATCACAGCCACCAATCAGAAGAAGAACTCTTTCTGATTTTCATTGACAGCATTTTGTGTATTAAGCTGGCTTTTCAACACAGCCTCAGCACTGTCTACGTTCTCTGACCTTTCTGCTTCATTTCTTTTGTATAACCTTTTCTGCTGATAAATGCGAACAGCTATGGCAGTGATGCACAGCAAGATAAAGATCACAACAGCTATCAAACCTAGTGAGAGAAGAAAAAAAAACACCAATCAGAAGTTTTGTCCAGATAGAAACAGTGTAGCCTTCCTTTCTTAATAAGCCGTAATAAAATTATTTTCTACTTAAGCATCTAGTATATACAAATTAGAAATATCAGCACCTTGGGTATTTCTGGATAGAGTGATATCACAATAGGTTGAGCTTACTTCTGAGTTCTATCAGCCTTGTGGATTCACCTCTACTGTGAATGCACAGTATACTGGATCATTTAGTGCATTTATATTTAACACAAGATATTACCTATGTATTTCTAAGACCATGTGGTCTCTTCATATTAATACACAAATTTTAATTATTTTGAAATTACAGAGAATATCATAAAATAATTAAAGAGTTTCATACTTAATTATGTAAACATTTTAATGAATTTCATTTTCCATCATTTGTCATACTGCTGAATAGCAGCAACAGGTTATGTACATGAATTATCCTAATGAAACATATTGATACAGATATATAGATATATTTAGATTATTTCTATATGAGAAATATTGATTTTCTAAAGTAATTATTGTGTTATAATTCCTACAACACAGTCAGCAAGTGAATTTGAGGCATGGAAGGAGGCTGATGAGGTTGGCAAGTGCTGGCTCATACAGGCTCCTGGTAAGGAGATGTTTGGTTTTTTTCTAATGAGATTTTATTTTTAAAAAATTTTTTATTGAGGTACATACAATAAAATGCACAAATCTTAGTGTACAGCTCCATACATTTTGACATGTGTATACACTCGTGTAACCATCACCTAGATCGAGATATCAAACATTCTTGCTAACTTTTTTCCCAATTTTTTGAAACATCTGATTGTCAATAAAATAATTAAACACACAATTGGTAGCCTGGCCAGTGTTCATCAACCCTGGCATGACGCTGGGTAAGTAGTCTTCAAAGTGTGACCTGTGAGTCCTTGTGGTCCCCGGGACACTTTGAGGAGGTCCACAGGGTCAAACCATTTTCACAATAATTCAAAGATGCCTTTTTTCATTGTGTTTATATCCTCGCTCATAGTACAAAACATGATAAAATTCCTAGTACTTTATCACAAATTAAGGCATGGCCACCAACTGTAATAGTGGTCATTGAATCTAGAAAGTGGAAGGCACTGCACTGCCACATAATTGGAGGAGAAACAAAAAGCCAGATTCATTTATCTTTTTCTATGTTGACAGATAGGAACCACACCAGCGGGGGTGAAGATTTAATAATAAGGGTAAGTGTTAAACCGCTGTGTTGTATACTTGAAAACAATGTAAGACTGTTTATCGATACTTCAATAAAAAGAACAGAGTGTCTTTGATGATGCACTAAAAATTAATCATTTTATTAAATCTCGACTTTCGGCTCTAAGTCTTTTTAATGTTTTGGGGGATGAAATGGAAAGTATACACCAGGTATTTTTGGCGCATTCCAAAGTACAGTGGTTGTGTCCTGGAAAGGCACTTGTGTGATCACTTGATTCTGAGCTGAACTGTGCTTCTTGCACGTGGAATACCATTTTTATTTGAGAGAAGGACCAAACTGTGGTTGTTTTGACTTGGATATTTGGCAGATATTTTCTCTAAAATGAATGGAGTAAGCCTTCTGATGAAATTAGTTGAAGTACTAACTGGTGTAGTTGTTTTTAGATAAAAATAGGTACAATGACGGCAGCAATGTGGATCAACTCCCGTATTGTTAAACTGGGACTCTTCATTCTAAATTAAATTAGGTGTGTAAATGGAGTCCAGCCAAGTCAAAACTTTGAAGGTTCCTGTCATTCACGATGGATTCCTGAGCACATGATTTCATAGGCATGTTCACCATAGCAAATTATAACACTGCCAATGGCAAAGCCGATTTTTGGCTAGGTCAGTCTTATCTGAGGATAGTAATTCCCTGCTGATAAATCTAAGATGAACGTGGCAACCAATTCTGCACTTGAAATCTGAAGAATTTACTAATGGACATGGCTATTTTTTGTTATTATTAGTCATATTAATAAATGATAACTTTAATCAGAATATCCATTTGTTATAATCTTGGCCTCTCATCCTAGAAAAGTAATCAGTTGAGTTGCTATAAAAACTTAGATTGTCTGGTTAGAGGCCTCTTGTTTAAAGAGAGAGATTCTGAACAATTTCAATGTGAACAACTGATGAAGTTTATCATAGAGAGCAGACTACTGCAATTACAAAATAAATGTCAACGTCACATTGGCCCAGACGGTCAAAATCATGGATGGACTCTGAACTATTGCTCCACAGATGCCATGTTCCTCCTTTAATTTGGGAAAAGCATTGATCAAATTAGGATTTTTCACATCCAAGAAAACTAACCTGCCCTACACACAAACACAAAAGACATTCTATATGAAATATGTCCTACTACTGAACTCCATGCTATCTGCAACTCTTGTGAATGTGTTTTTATGAGGAAACTTTGTAGCTTTCTCTCTGTCTAAATCTGACCAAACATATTTGTGTAGCCTAGCCAAAAACCCTCTACAGTATCTGGCTGACCAGTTTCAAATGTCTTATTAAAACTATTTTCCCATCTTACATTATTCAATGTTTATAAGTGAAGAGAAAGATCATCTAAAATGTAGAACATAGAGGGATTAGCCAATTTGGAAAATCCTTTAAGTAGATTAATTATTGTTACACAGTGGGGGCAATTTATGAGTAACTAGACAACAGGCAGAGAATTCTACCACGATGCTACCATACGGAGAAATGCACTGGAGAATGATATTCTGTGATTTAGCAGATAAATTGCATGTGGTCCTAGACAAGGCCCTCTGAGCTTAGATGCCCATGACCGGCTGCTCTGCTTCTGAAGCTCAGTCCCTGCAACGATCAAACACAGACACCACTGGATTCATAGTCCCTGGCAAGTCCCTGAACGGCAAAACTTCCATATTGTCTTTCTCTGCTCTATGCATTTGAGCCAAGGGAGAATTTCACAGGTGACCTATAACTCGCTTCCATTCTAGAATTACACAGAATGACTCATCAACACACCCCTCCTTTGCTCTGTAAATCTTGCCAGTGATCATTGCCTAAAGCTACAATATTCTAAAGATTAAATATTTTGTTCTAACATTAGCTTAACTATATACTTTGTATTCATATTTACTCCTGTATCTATGTCTCCCTGTATTTATACTAAAGACCACCATTATGAGACTGAGACAATTTGTTTGACTAGGAATCTAGTTTAAAAGGTTGAGCACATTTTAAATGCTATAGCTTAAGTGAATTTTTAACCATATAACGTATTAGTGACATTAATGTATTTCTTTTATACACCCACTTATCAACTGCTATTCTAGCAGCATTTTCATTTTTGTTTTTTGCTTGTTATATGACTAAGTGGAGATCCCATCCACCTTTAATTTATATACCACTGATTTAATACAAAGAAAACCAACAAAAATTGCAATGGAAATGTTAGTATCTCACACAGTGTTGACCAGTACTACTCTCTATATAAATGAAATCCTACTACTTAAAGGAAGTTGTCCAGATGACTAAGGATATAAAACTGAACCAAGTGGGTCAGGCATAAAGCCCACAAGCATAAGAGTAATTATCTGCCAATGTAATAAAATGATTGTTTACTTTTTATGTCCATATTGTATGCAGTGTGGAGAAAAGGTGAGTCACCTAACATTTCAATTATCTGATTTATAATTCTTAAGCCCATTAATCAGGAAGGAAAAGGTATATTTGGAGGACTGGTTTTGAATAAATTATGTCTCAGAGAACAGCTGTTTCACTGCCAAGAAGATATACTTAAATTTTTTTGCATTAATTCTGTAATTTAAAATACCTATGAATTACTTTTATTCCATTAGCCCACTATTTGACAAAAATGCAACTAAAAATGTTATATTCATTGATGGGAACATCTAACCCATAGGCGGAAATGCCCACTTTACTGAGCATTAAGGCAACATAATATATATGCTTCTAGGGTGAATCTCAAGTTTTTCCTACTTTTTGCACAACCCCCTGCAGAAGCACTGATATGTTGGAGATGCTAACAAATATCCTTCTTCCTCAGATATATTCAGAATTCCCTAACGATTCATGGCCATTTCCAAACTAAATGACATTCGCTGTTACACAGTTTAGCAACTGTTACTTTGAGTGTGGTGTTCAGTGAAATTATCAATTATTTATAATGAAAATCTCCAAGGAAACTGGAAATGCGGGAAAACTCTAGAAAAAGACAATCCAGTACAAACAATAAGCCATCCCCACCACTCAGGATTCAGTGCCTAACACTGGGGTATATATAGATGCTTCATAGGTAGTTTCTAGAATGCTAATTATCACCATTATTAGTAATGATAAGCACCAGAGAAGAGCCCATTCCTGCTTTCTGTTACCTCCAATTACTGCAGAGTCATTTTTGATTGCGTTAGCTAGGGGTTCTCTGTCATCTCTTGTTCCAGAATGATCTGCAGTTAAAGGACACAAACGGTGAGGGGTAATACAGGCAAGTAAAAAGAAGAAATTTTTAGAAGTTCATACATATTTTAAACCAGAACAGGATTATGGAGGTCAGTGTAGGGATTTTAAAACTTTAGCAAGGTCACCGTAATGGCCCACATGAATAAGGAACTGAGAATATAGGGAAAAAATGGGAAAGAGAACTGAGAATTTAGAAACTGAAATGGGAAAGTTAAACAGAAAAGAAGACTATTTTAAGAGGCTGTCTCAAGAATGTAGCTTAATAGCAACGTCAGATTTCAATACCCAGTGGACAAGTGTGTGTGACAGGGTGAATGCAGAGCCGTAGACCACCTGCAAACGAGTGTGTCCTTTCCCTCGATGTGGCGTCAGTGCCAGCCTGGGCTACGCAGCTGGACTCTGTCACATGTCCAGAGACAGTGATGGGGGCTGGGTGGCTGGGGTGCAGAGCAGCCTTGAGGGGGGCCACGTGGCTGAGCTGCACAGCAGACAGACAGCCCAGGAAGCCCTGAGCACCGGCCAGCGCTGTTTCCGGGTCTACATCACTGGGTTCTGTGAATCCAAAGAAACATCGTAATATTAATAACAGCCCAAGTGCAAATGGGCAATGCCACAAATGGAATTTTCTGAGTCTGATGACGTAAAAGCAGTAGGTATACATATGATACATACCCAATTACAGTGACTAAGTTCCTTTTTTTGGTCTTTTACAAGAATCAGAACCGTTAAGTCTTTCCATGTCTATTGGTTAGTCTTCCCAGGTTAACAGGGGCACGTTTTTAAGTATGGCTAATTAAATATGATACGGTGAACTCTCTGGAAATGATTAAAGCCTCCCAAAGAAAGGACCAGATTATGAACTCATGAGGGTTCATCAGATTTTAAACTTGAAAATATATCATTAAAAATGTATTTTTGATAGGGTTTGTAGTCAATATTCGAGAGATTAAAATGCTTCCTGATTTGGAAATGAATTCAGCTCCGCTTTGGAGATCTAAGTCATGAAAATAAAGGAAGTTAAAGAGAAAAGTGAGCTTCTGGAGTTCCCTTACGCCCCCAAGCGCTTAGAACCACTCCTGACTGACGCTCACCACCCCGCCCCGCCCCTTCTCACTGTTGCCTTGTCCGCTTATCACTCAGACAGAAACATGTGTGTCCCCCTATAGAGGGAAAATGCCTCTCCTGTATCAGTGACAGTTGGGTTAATAATGGGCCTGTTGTGGAACAGAGTGACTTCGTGAATGCCAGGATATTAATTTATAATTTTACAGTGAAGAATATACTTATATTTCATGTTTGGTGACCATGAAATCTAAACAAGGGTAATTAATTACAGAGTTTTAAAGTTCAAATGTCATCAGACTACAGCGCAGCCATCCACCCAACAGGATCACAAAATCGCACGACCCTTCCCCCTGCCCTGCACATCCTTGGACATGGACACAATTTGCACTTCTGTCTCTCTTGAATGAAAACAGATATTAAGTATTTATTTATGAAGTGCTTAGTATGTGTCAGGCACTGTTCTAAGGGGAGTGCAAGTTTGTGCTTAAATCTTCCGCAGCCACGAGCATCTTCCTGCAGTCATGCAGGCAGGCACTGAGGTTCCCGCTTCCAGTGATCTGCCCGAGCTGATGGGTGTCGGCCTCATGAGCTGGACTCCGAATCCAAAGCCTCTTTTGTTTGTGAGCCACTCTCTGACTGACACATGCTTTCCTTTCCTGTGATTATATCTTCTTCAGTACTGTTTTCTTTCTTTCTCTTTTGACTGAAGAGCTATTCTTGAAGGAACTCTGGGCAACTCTACTGATTGAGCCCACCTTGTTCCATCAAGGTTTTTGGAGAACACTTCTTTTTGCTCCATTTTCACTCAAATTTTATACCTTGCCTAATAGCAAAAATACTGGTTAAATGTTTAGTATCTTGAGTATCATTTGCTGTAAAAAAGAAATACGAACACTAGAGAGCTCACGTCACTTTTCTGCTGTGTGGGGATACGGTGTTCGGGCCCAGGCCTTCTAGCTGCGGAGGCCACGTCCTTCCCACCAGGCTATCCCGCCTCCTTGCACAGAGACAGTACTGAAAGAACGCCACTGCTGCTTACGTGCTAGACTGTCAGCCCCCTGAACGGAGAGGGGACCCTCGACTCCCAGCACCGCGCTGCTCCCTAAGAGGCATTTCATCACTGTGTATAAACCAAAGAACAAACCTGGTGCCACCCCAGAGCAGTCCCGCATTTAAATGGATGTAACGTGCAAACATACATATTTTTAGAAAGACCGCATCCTTGCTTGCTTTGGATGCTTTCATAAGAAATGAAAAGGAAATATAACTCAATAGCAACATAATTGAGACGAGTGCTTTCCCATTTCTTCTGCAAGGTTAAAATCTTAAATAAAATTCCTAAAGATCTTAAAAAAAAAAAAGTCTTACCTTTGGAACCAAAAAAAAAAAAAAGAAGTAAATAGATAAGATTCACTTCTCTTGTAAAAGTCTGATATGAGATAAATTTTGAAAACTGTACTTTCAAATTAGAAACATTCTACCTATTATAAATTATTATATGAAAATTTTTGAGCTCAAACTTAAAATAGGCAGTTAGTCTCTTAACATTGTAAGAGCTAAAGATACAGGAAGGAAGCCCCTGCGTACCAGGCATCTTACATTCTGGTCGGGGTGAGAGAAAATAAACATCGAAACAGGGACTGATGGAAATTTTGAAGATTGACAGTGTTAGGAAGACATAAATTACAAAATGTGACAGAGTGTATCTGGAACAGAGATTCACTTTGATGCACTACAGATTCTGGGGGGCCTATTTAAAGGAGGACTCTGCCACAGTCCTATTCTCTTAGTAGCTCATGGATATTATTCCAGCATCTTCTGCCTCTGTTACTTCTTTCTCAAAATTCAGAAGATTCCCTGTGATTTAGGAATTTGGCACAGAACATGGTGAACCCTTTTAATCTAGAGACACAGGATTTTTTGTTAGCCTTTAAAATATCTTACTTAGTGGGGGGCAAATACTGCTTCCCTTTGTCCTTTCCGTCCTCTGGACGGCCAAATACACGAGGTCTCTGGTGCAGACTCTCTAACCATTTTTAGTTTCCCTCCCGATTTCTACCTTTTAAGACTTATCTTCGTGCAAGCCATGTGCTTCATTCACTTGATGCTCCAGGTAATGAATTCAAGTACCAACAAAGGTCGTTCTCTCCTGCTGAATTTTTTGTCTGGAAAATCATATATTTTAGTTCCTCAAGGTCTTTTTATGGCTGTGCTAGAGTTTCCTAGAATTCCCTTTAAGTGCTCTTAACTAAGCTTCACCCTGGATGGTGTCTTGTGTCCCTGAAGAGCTTTATTTTGGTCGGAAATAATTCTGATTGCTTTGGTTTTTCTCCCATTTTATCACTGTTGAACCTCCTGCAGCGGGTCAGCCTCTCTCGCCTGCCGGCTGAGTCTCGGTCGCTGGCTTCCTTGGTCGCCCGTGGCACAGGGCAGGTGGCACGGGAAGGCGGGCATCTCCGTGGGGCAGCTGCAGCTGGGGCGCCCCCCTGACTTGGGGCCAGAGCGCTTGGCTGCGGTGTCAGGTCACCCTCAGCAGGCCTCAGGAGAGCCTCAAACGTCAGGTCATTAGCTCTTTGTGAAAGCAGGAAAATGGGCACATGGATGGGCACACGGATGTTCTTGGTGCTGCTCTCCCCAGGGGCCCGAGGACATCTGCAGGCCAAACATTTCCAAGTGGCAGGGGATTCATACAATTCAGGGTCTCCCCCTGAGGCTTTCTAGGCCGGGCCCAGAGGGTCTTCCCACCGGAGGCAGGGAGTCCGGCGACTTTCTCATCGGCAGCCTCCAGGCCCCCCACCGCCTCCTGGGCCCGGCCAGCAGCTCCTTGCTGCAGGAGGTCAGTGGGCTGGGACTGGAATGAGTAAAGGGCCAGGACAGGGACTTGGCGGATCTCCCCAGGATCGAGTCCAGACAAAACTAACGACTTTGTTCAGCTGCTCTTCGGCAAAGCTGGCCTTAGAAATACACAGCACCAGATCCCTGAATTGACGACTGTGCTTACAAAGCCACTGGGCAAACTAACACCCTTCCCTACTATCTGCCTACGGAAATGCCAACAGCATGTGAGGATTAGACCAGAAAAGGTAGAGGAGTTGAAGACAAATGCCTCCCACTTTACACCAAATCCTGATGAGACAATCATGTTTTGAGTATTTCCGGTTATAAAAATCCTTAACTGGCTCAGATTTGTGGGTAGTCTTGCCTATTCCAAAATCAACCTCAATGATATTTTCCACCAAAGGGAATGCCTCCTGCTTTGCTAAAAAAGAAACCTTTTTAACAAAAGGCCTACAAGAAAAATAGAGTACTAAGGACTCTATGAAGAGCCTTTTTCTTGTCCAGAGAGAGGACGGTTTCTGGGAAGGGCACGAGGTAAATGGAAGAGCGATGGCCAAGAGCGCTCCGTGAAATGTCTCGTGGCGCTCATGACCAAAACCAGAACGGAACACTCCCCACAACGCAGAAACACAAAGCAGCGGACGCGGGACACAAAGCCAGGTAGTCTGGCCACAACATGAACAAGGGCCTGTCTTTGAAAAGGATCCCAACATCTTTAATCCACAAAGATAAAGAAAAAGAAGGCTGGCCAGAAAATGGTGCAGTGAGTCAGGGCAGGAGCAGGGCTAGAACCCAAGAGCCTTTCACCACCGCATTCGATTACAGCAAGGGCTCAACAGCAAGAGTTGGCGGGACAGTAAAATGGCAAAGCAGACAACTCCTGCGTGGATGAAGAACCAGTTTTTCATAAAAGGCATTTATCTGCCGACCAAGCCTACTGCTCTGAGATACACCATTAAAAACCTAATTAACACAAAAGCTATTTATAGTTAGATATCTCGGGGTGACCTGTACTTCTCTTTTGCTTTCAGCATAACCTGTCTCATCCCCAGTGTCACACGACATGACATTTACAAAATCACCACGTCCTTAAGTAATCTAATTAAACTTTCTTCTGTACCCCCTTGGCTTTGAAGCAGCCCATAAAATACCCCTGAGATTGAAGTTTGTTCCTGAAGCTCTTGTGAGGAGGCGGAGTAGACATCCTCTTCCCTCTGACCACACACTTTATTTACATCTGGCCGAAATCCCCACTGCAGAAATCGGTATCACTTCCTGGCTCTGCGGCCTCAGAGGAGATAAATGATCCCCATGGGTCATTGCCTCTAAATATACCAAAGCAACGGCTCAGGATGAGTGAAAAGCATCTTTAGGTTTTTACGAAATTCTTCTAACATAAAAAGCAATCCAGAGCCAGAGCTCAGAATTTAATTTTACAACAAGTTTTGGGTATTGAGAAAACACGTAATGCAGTGTAATCATTCCAAAGGACTAGGAACCAAATTCACTAAACGCCACTGGCTCCTCCCGCAACCACCATGATGTACGATATGTTTCTGAGGTCAGCGCTCTTGTCCCCTTACGTATCTGCCGTGAGAAAGTAACAGTAGTAATTGTGAACTTCACTCAACTTTTGAAGAGTGATTTTCCAGTCATTTTGCAATAGGTTAAATTTTATCATTATTCAAGACGTGGCATATTTTTTCATGAGAGGCTTTGTGCAACTTCAAGATTAGGTAACACTCTTAGTTGAGACTTTTTTTCATGTGGTGGAACTGTGGCCCAATAGAAGCTTACTGAATTAGCAAACAACTTCAAACCTGCATATTTCCCTTGATTCGTTGCATCTTAGAGAGATCCCTTTTTATATAATTTTAGGGTAAACGGTTCTTCTGAAGGAGCTGATGGAGGGACCATTCACTTTGGCATCAGTATTTAATACATTGTGAACAACACACTTAACAAAGAAATTATGTCAGTCTACTTTTCAGAAGAAGACCGGAAAGAGGTGAATTGCCTTCTCTCTGTTCTCCCCTACTCATTCCCACAACTGAGGATGGGCTGTACGGACAGTTTCTAAATTCCAATCTTCATTAACAAGCACTGTGAGCCGATATCAAGCAAGGAAGGTAATTTACAGGTTAACAACATTCAACTGCACTGTGATGATGCGGCAGCCATCTCTCAGCCTCTATTACACTTGAGACAACACCAGCAGAACTCAAATGTCACTCCTGTCATCCAGCTGGCCTGTCCAGCATCTCTCTGCTGTGGCTCTGCCCTCTCTCCATCCCAAAGATGTGTCTCCACCCTCCTGCTAATCTCTTCCTCTCTCTTTCTCTTCCAGCAATTCCTGTTCTTTAATAAATTCACTCACACAACGGTGTAAGCCCCTGACCGTGGCTTTATTTTTTACTTGTTAAAGCATGTTAAAGCATGTTAGTAATTAAAGCAATAAGCAATTGCTTTCTCCTTTTCTTTTAGACATCATTCTAGTTGATGATTGTGTAAAGCTTTCTAGATTTGGTAGCTGATAAGCATATAATTAGGGATGTGTGGCTTTTGCTTTTACAGTCTGGTGTTCTTTGCAGTGTCGGGGGCACTCTGTGTTTTATTATGCCTGACGCCAGATGAAATGCAGGTGACGTCACTGTGAAGGGAGCACACCTGCCCGTCCCCCCTCAAGCACATACTCATGAGGAAGTGTGCTGCCCACAGAATCCCTGTGTCTTCCTTATCATTTGCTCTATAGTTAAAATCAGATGATATGTTTCAGAATTATGAGCATTCCTTGGGTTTGGCACCGGACACTTCTGATCTGTGCTCCCGTATCACGATGAGGAGAAAGGTTTTTAAGTTTCAGAGAATGGCCAGTTCAAAAAGACAAGAGCTAACTCTCTGGAAACCACCTAAGCCTCCACAAGGATGAAGTCATGCTGTGCACAGGAGACAGCTTGTAACATTTGAGTTGCTAAAATATTCCAAAATCAACCTAACAAAAAAATATTAAGTAGATTTCTTATTATTCTTGCTCTAAATTATACTTCTCTTTCAAAACATGCTTTAAAAATTACCAGTCCACTATCTTAAGTGTCATTTCACAAGATATTTTCAAAATCAGTGTATCCTTAGACGGTCTGCGTCACCTCTTCCCTCACCTCCATGCACTGGAGCAAGTGTTCCACACTGGAGTGACACACTGGAGATGGTTCTTAAAACAGAGACTGAGTAGATGCCCTTTTCTTGCTGAGTACAGACTTTACCTTTACATCTGGCCTCAATCCCCACCACAGTAACCTGAATATACTTCCTAGCTCTGTGGTCTCAGAAGAGAGAAATGATCACTATTGATCATCAATATTAATATACAAAAGCTACCATTCAGAATGAGTGAAAATAATCAACCAGCTCTTTCTTAAATAAATCATAAAACTATTCTGCCATATGAAAATATCCAGACACAGAATTTAGAGCTGGATTTTACAATGAATTATGAACATGAAAAGCAAATTTAATGTACTCTGTTGATTATAGGAAGATCTGAGCAGAAAAGCTTGGCTAAAACCTTGACCTTCTCACCACAGCTCTCAACCACCAATGATCACTGTTGCTGGGCTTAGTGGGCCCTTAAATGATCTATGTGTAACAGGGAAGTAGAGATGGTTTCCATGCCATCAGAGTACAGTTTGATATTGTCTCTAAAATTTATCCTCGTTTTCAGTATCTATTATTAATGTTTGTTAACAGTGACAGTAATCCAAAATTATCCCCATAGTTCTTCCTAAGTTTAAGAAACGAGTACCGGAGAAAGTTGAAAGATGGGACAAACTCCCTTTATTTCTGAGTTATCATCTAAAATGGCAATGGATGATGACAACCACATCTTTGGTTGAAAATGTAGATAAACTGCAACTCCAAAATATAATTAGTCAATGTTTATATTCTGCTCCCTTAAAAGAAATATCCAGAAGTTATAAAGTGATACAAATACAGTATTTTCTTTTAATTTGCAGAGTAATTTGGAACCATTTTATCTAAAGCAACATAGCTTTAGATAATGCTGCTCCATTAGCTACATGGGAACATGGTACAGAATGATTACCTGCAAGCCCACTAACCATAAGCTCTGTGATGTAATGTCCACCTTGTTTGGTGGCATTCTCTGTGTACACAACAGGCGAGCAGAGCATGTGCCACATGAATCAGCGAACCAAATGCACTTCCAAAAACAAAAACATATTTGATCAGTGTGGGGCTATAAGAAGGCGCCTTGCAGACTTCCAACTAGAGGAAGTTAACTGACCAAGGGCCGCAGCTGCTGGGCTCTGAAACTGATTTTCAGACTTGGGCCACGGCCTTGACTCCAATGGGCTACTCCCAGCCCGTGGCTGATCACAGCAGGGATTCGAAGGCAGGCCCATTCCTGGGGGACATGGGGCTCCTCTGAGGGCTGACTGACTTGAGGGCTCTCCAAAGACTGCTCGACTTCGACTGCACAGAACTGCAGGATGCTTCTCGCTTTCCCTCCCTCCGTCCTTCACTTGGTGGCAGAGCTGCACGGCCATCTGAGGCTCTGCCAGTCTTGGCCAGCAGCCTCCTTACTTTCTCTTTCACAAATGCTCCCTTGATAAAATCCTTACACCATCTACTTTGCCTTGGCAATTGCTTCTTGGAAGACCTGGACTAACATAATAAGAAACTTCGAGACTGAGCAACTCTCTGGAAAATTAACAGCTCTGTTTCAGCATCCATTTTACTATGAATTAATATACCATATTAAAATATAATAATACACTACATAACATTTTATTGTAAATTCATACACCATACCAAATTTGACCACAGATTATTAGTCTCCTTTGAACTACAAATGATTTGAATGTAACATTAGGTCCCTGGTCAAAACCCTCACCTTAGGCACATGCCAAATAAATTCTTACTTACAATTTTAGGAAAATGAGTCCATTCAGACTATAAAGCTCACTGCTGAATTTGGTCTTTAATCCTGTTTTTCAGCTTGAGTGATATGCATTTTAATAATATGCTATTTTTGAATAAAAACATTAACATCTTTAAATCCTTACTAATCTCCCCTATTCATTTACAAAAAGGGAAACAAATATTTATATAATGAATGTTATTATTCTCCTGTTTGACTGATACAGTCCTCCTCACAGAATGCACATCAGTTTCCCCATTGTTTTTTAATATATTTAACATATTTCTACCCACAAAAAACATTTCCATCAGTAACTCTGGCATTAAATTTAAATATGTTATTTCTTCAAAAATATGATTTTTATCAACATTCTACATAAGTGTCAGAATTTTTTACCTTTTTGTGTAATAGCTCATCTCAGACCCTGTTAGAGGAACTCTTGAGATCAGGATTTGTTACATCTAGTTGACTTTTTTATCACTATCATTGAATTTATATAGTTTATGTTATGAAACTCACTTGAAATTTTTCAGTTAAGCTTCCAAATATTTAAGTTCTACTTTGCACATATTTTTATGTCCACAAGAGCATACTGGAAGAACATTGCAATTCATGATATTTCCCATTTGTTTGGAGAATAAGAGCATACAATTTCGGTGCTCAACACAGTACTAGAAAGTCTATAAATATTTATAAACTTAACTATTAATCTTCTCAAGGGCCAATATTTTGATCACACACTTGTGGGTTTAATCAAACATTCTCAAGATTCTGAGATTATGTACAGGAAATGTAAGGAATGATTAATCATGGTACAAATAACTGAAAAAGGTCAAAAAAAAAGATTCCATTTACTATCTTGAACAAAATATTCCAGGTTAGTGTCAAATGTCAAACTAGGAATGAAAACCAGACATAAGAAGTCCCTTACCCCCACCAAATAATGTGAAATATCAATACTCTTTGTAGTTTCACTTCTAAAAGAAAATCTCTTTTAAAATTTCCTGCTTCTCTTTCCATTTGGTCTTTGTTAGCAAGTATTAAAAAAGTATACATATTTTGATGTTAAAAGGCAAGGGTATGTTTCTACTTCAGTGCTATTATCCAAAGTAATTGGTGGATATAAGTAAGAATTTCAAGATGCTTCGACAGACATGGGTTATAAGATAACATCTTACAAACATCTCAACAAAGCAAACAGGATCCAAGCCATAACCAGAAGCATATTCACTAACTAGAAGGAAAGAATTGCTTTCTCCTCCCTTTTCTTTTAGACCTAATCCTAACACTAGATGATGGTTTGTATATTTGCCAGTTGATTTACACATAGTCTGTCATTTCTCCCTTTTTTGACATTTTCGAAGCGTGAGAACAATATCATGTTTCATTACACTGGACTGACGCACGGCAGAGTCATTTTTATGCTTGCTCAGCAGGAAGTCCCTCTCACACTTACCTGCACCTCTGAGAAGGTCCAGCTTCTGGCTTGATCATCCCCATCACTTCGTTTTAAAATGTGTGTGTGTGTGTGTGTGTGTGTGTGTGTTTACAGTATGACTCTTCTGACCCACATTATACATCATGAGTATGGGACGGCTGTTCCTTTGCTTACCTAAAATCCTGCCCAGCACCAGAGATTTGATTGCACTGAATTCTGTACCCGATGACAGGTGGACTTGACTCTCTGCATTCTCGTCAACCTGTACAATTGTTACATGAGATGCAAACATCCAAGTGGATGCCATTTGGTTGAGAAGACAGGAAGCAAAGGAAAACAAAAGAAAAATGATAAAATAGGCAACTATCTGTATGGCCCCAAATATCTAGAAAAATAAATTTTAAAGAGTTAGCTATGTATAAAGTTGAATATTATTTTCTAAATTATTTCTATACTACCCTCAGATACTGGAGCTCTCTATCTTCTACTCCTTATATTACTTTATTTTTCTCCATGGTTTAAGAAATCCAGAATTGGTCAAATGAGCAAAAATATGAGTTATTTTCACCTTGATACTTTTACTTAGCTTGGTATTTTTACTTGAGTAATTCAGCTAAGAAATTTTCCTGTATGTAGAGGAAACATTAGCGCTCTTCTTCAAAAGCTAGCAGAGTGAATAATTCCAATTTCTCTGCTGTGACTCACATCTTTTAAATACAGTCTGATATTGCAATAATTAATTTCCGTGCAGTCTTAACAGCAGTACACTATGAAAGACTAGACCACAATTCCCTCCTGAGCAAAGTAAAACAAATGAGGGAAGTGGCATTTTTAAGAATCAAATATTGATAATAGTTTAGCCAGAATCTTATCCCTTAAAAATCTCCGACCACATTTGATGAATAGCACAGAGAGAATGTCTTTGTTTAGTCTGTTCATTATTAGCACATTTTTGTTGAGGGTCCTCATGCTGGGAAGTCATAATTACAACCATTGCTTCTGTTGAATTTGCTATATTACCTCTACAAAGACCACTCCTTCTTCTCTGTTAATCTTTACGTGGTGAAGGTGCCCATCAGCCATGTTTTTGAAATCAAAGTTAACAACATCAGGTTCTTGATGTCTATTTAGCTTGTACCTAATCTGCAAACTTCCTAAAGTAGGGGGAGAAAGTTATATTTTTAGTTAAGATTGTATTTTAAGAACTACTTATAAAAAGTCAGAGTACTTTTTTTTTGGTATCATTAATGTACAGTTACATGAGCAACATTATGGTTACTAGACTCCCCCCATTATCAAGTCTCAACCACATGCCCCATTACAGTCACTGTCCATCAGCATAGTAAGATGCTGTAGAATCACTACTTGTCTTCTCTGTGTTGTACAGCCCTCCCCATGCTCCCACACACATTATGTCTGCTAATAATAATGCCCCCCTTTTTTTCCCCTTATCCCTCCTTTCCCACCCATCCTCCCCAGTCCCTTTCCCTTTGGTAACTGTTAGTCCATTCTTGGATTCTGAGAGTCTGCTGCTGTTTTGTTCCTTCAGTTTTTTATTTGTTCTTATACTCCACATATGAGTGAAGTATTTTTTTGTTATTTATTAATTTCTAGGGAGGACTTCACAATCATTTATTTGGATGTAGCCTTTCATCACAATTTCTAGAAGTCAATTTCCATGTGAAATTGTGCTATTTCAGTATCAAGACCAGCCATATTGCTAACAAGCAGTATCTTTTCTGCAAATTTTCAATTTTTTCCCTAGACGTCAAATATGCATTTGAACATATGCAAATCTCTGTTTTAGTCTCTAAGTTGAAAAAAATAGTAAGTCTTAGTCTTATATTATGAAATGCCTAACTATTGTGGAATATTGCAATAACATTCTGTTTCTATCATCTCATCTTTTCAAAGATATAACTACCACTCCTAAAATATAACTGTTAAATAAAATTTTTATAAAAAATGTAATTTTGCTAAAGATGAGAAATATTTTCAAATGGACATGGTCATAGACTTTGGGATGAAGTTAGGATGAAATGGATGGTTTTAGTCAAACCTAGCATGAGATTTAATACTACTCACTTAATTGCCTACAAAGAGGTCAATTAATTTACTTTACAGGATAGTTTCCATTTTAATAAATATTCTAATGAATAGATAAGTTTCAGGCTCAAAATGCATACAGTGAGGGTAAACATATTTATTGCACACTATTATTTTTATTTTAGTTTCCAGTGCTCTTGGGCCATATTTATTTTAGTTGAAATAATTCATGTTCATAAATTTATTTTCCTTATCCAGTGAATTCATTTAAACTATTTATATCTTTACTCTGGATATAGGGAAGAGAAAAAAACGTCAGTAAGTGGTTTTCTGTGTTAAGTTTTTGTGGTATACAGATGCCCAAATTCACATCCCATTTCTCTGCATTGCGTATCAACATTTCACATGACTCTTACATTGCCTGTATGAGAAGTGACAGATTATTTTGGGGACATTTTCTTATACATAATTCTAGTTTGTTAAGATTTCCTCAGGATTTCTCTACCTTTAATTAAAGGAAATATTTGCTATGTACAAACAGATAGCTTATTTCAAACTGATACCGATATTCACATGGCACAGTAAATAACTGGCAATAATAAAATGTAAGAAATATTTTGTATAAACTTCATACTGAATATGTAAAATTATCAAAATCATAGAGAAACAAAGGCATGTTCATTATTTTAAATAATCCTTTTCGACTCAATTTACAGGATAGTACTACAAAAACAGAAATGAAAACACAAAACAGGCCCACTTTTTTCCCGTTTGCAGTTTGAGAGGCAAGAACAGGAGAACGATCCATATTATCACCGATCTAATGTTCTAATTCAGTTTTCTCTCTCTCATCGAAAAAGAACTCACCATTTTTGGCAATGATAACTGAAAGGTATTCTTTATAAAAGGAGCTCACGTATAGCAGTAAGCTTGGTGTTCGGGTGGTTCGGAAGCTAAATGTGACCATTTCTCTGCTCAGCTTCATATCCCCATGAAATGAAGCGGCGTGGGAGCTGGAATTTTTACTTAACGAATAATTTTCTTGAAAATTGTAAACCACAGATGAGCCAGATCCAAAATATGCGGAAATCTCTGAAATGATAGACACATTTTATGTTTTAAAAAATCAAGTATGAGGAGCTTGTTTCCATTACTTTTTTAATTAAAAATAATGAATTGTATAGATATAACAAATAGCCCCAAACCAGAATGAAATAACACAGCAAATTAATTCTGTGTTCATGACAGTCCTTGAAATGGCTTTATGTCACAATTACATGTAATTAACTCACTAGTTACCCTATCATTGAAAGCTAATGCTTTCTTATCTGAATCCAGACATAAACCAAGCTTCCTGACTTTCATTTCCTTTACCATTCATTTTTTATTTAAATTTTAAGTCCCAACTATTATTTTGTAGCTGGAATATGCTAGTATTCCTGTAATAGGAAGGAAGTTTGAGGGATCCTCTTACTTCCAGGATCAATAAGCAGAAACTTCCCTTTATGCCTAAACACTCACATTTATTGGGCACTATGAAAAGAAAGCTAAGTCTAGCGTTAACATGAGAGAGTAGCGGGCATTTGTGTGGCAGTGATCAACATAAGGCACTAACCAGTCTCTTTAAAATCACTTTACAAAAGCGTAGTACTTTCTTGATAGTAGGAGTAGTACTTGATTCCTATATGCCAAATTCACACATACCAAATATATATGTGTAAAGTGAAGAGAATTGTGGGAGGAATAATTACTTTCAGCTCCTTGAATCTTGCTTCTCTCTATGACTATAAAGGGCCAGTTGTGGAATATAAATTGTAGATGATGCTCACGGGGTTCTAGAGCAACAGCTCCACTTTAGGAGTTTCTTGGTTGTTTTATTATTTTTATTATCTATCAAGTACTTTCTATATTTAGTATAACATGTGGGTGCAGATTAACATTCCTAATTGCACCTAGCAAGATGAACTGGAAAGAAATCATTTAGATTGAGAAAGTGAAAACATGTTCTCCTGAAGAAATGGTGTTAATTCTAACTTAAAACATGAAAAGTTTCCTAGAATGACAGCAGCAGAGTGTGGGTTATTATCACTGGTTAATTTTGAATTATAACTTATTCCTGATAAAAAGTAGACAATTTGAAGAGTGTGTTTCTGCCAACTTTTCATTAAATAATCTCAAATGCTTTCTTTGCAAAGCAGGGGTTGCTTTGATTTGGAGCCAGTTTTTGTTAGCCTTCTTCATGAAAAGGTTCAGTTGCCCAGAAACACACATAAGGCAGCTGAATTAAATTGTATGACAGTTTTCTATGAGGAACTATGAAAGCATAACCAATGTTTACGTATTCAGAGAAGTCTGCCCAGAACACTTACTACTACACTCGGCTCTTTTCTTCCATGACCTAGACCATGAACAAGACTGAAAAACAGTCCACTGTCGTATTTCACCAACAGATAGTCGGCATATCACACAGAAAAATGCCTGAGAATCTCCATTTTGTTCCACATCAGTTTTTAATGGGAAAGTTATTCTCATTCCCGGAAAAAAATATTTGTTTAGCAAACAAAGAACAATGCTTCCTACATTTTCCTTCATTGTTGACCATCATCATCAGAAATAACAGTAATGCCTTTAAAGGTGTTAAAATAGAGAAGTGCCCCATGGGGCAGAATTTTAGCAGTCATAGCATTTGAGAAAATCAACATTAGAGAGAAAATAGCTGATTGAACAGCTAACCCTTTAAGACATCTGGAGGCAACTTTAGAGGACTTATCATCACAGGATGCTAGTTTTTAAGAACTGACTTAAGTATCTGAGTAATGAAATGTGATTGGCATAAAATAGGTAATTTGCCAAAAAAATCAGAAATGGAAATATTTTTGTTTCCAACACCTACACAGAAAAGAACTGGGAGATGTCTTATTCCTATTGGATACGTTTTCCTGCTGAGACACCGGGGGCATGCTTACCATTGGAGCAGAACGGCCCTGTATATGCGGAGAAGGTGCAGTCACAAGAGAACCCAGCGGGCCTTTCTCTGCACTTCCCTCCATTACGACACAAACCCCCGTAGCTGCTGCAATGCCCCCGACAGCCCGGCTCCACACCGGGGGTCACCGTGGCTCTCTCTTCCAGGTCCAGGGCCAGTCCATTCAGCTGCAGAGACCGGATGCATCCCAGGAAGCCCCTCTGTCTGGTGGCCGTCCCACCTAAAAGGGAAACACTGCACATGGAGATGCGTTCCTAGGTGTTTGATTCAGGATTTAAAGACCAAGCAAAACTGAGGCCTCAGAGAGAAGGGCAAAAATCTGATGAGCCAATATAATTTTGGAAGCACAGTTTGTGACAAAGTAGCAAAATAATTCAAAAAAGATAAAACGGAAGCTCAATTTTTCCCAAAAGTTGAGTTTGTTACATATTTGTTTTCTAAAAAAAATTTAGGAAACATTAAATTGGAGAGGTTTTTTTTATTATTATTAGTCTCTTCATTTCAAAGAACAAAATAAAGGCTATATTTTTTCATTCAAACTAACAGTGAAATATTTATATTCTTATGTAGAAAACTTTTTTTTGTAATTTTAAATAAGCATATGTTTGTGGGTACTATGGTTTGTCCTTCATATGGAAATCAGGTCATGATGTGGGTACCATTTTTACCTAGTGACAACTGTGAAGGAATCCTTGAGTCTTCTGTCTTGACTGTGCTATGATGTAGTGTTTCTGTTATTACTTTTTCATCAAACACTTGGACTTGGTAATTGAGCATCAGATTATTTGCTTTTTTCTGGCATATTTCCCAGTGGATTTTTTCTAAATATTGGTCCAGTGTTCACTGTTTTAAATTTGGAAAGATCCTCAATAAAACTGGGAAAGGAACTGATGAAGAAACAGTGGTGTAACATTTACTGAATTACATTTGACAATATGCATTTATCAAGTCACCCTTGAAGAGGCTGACAATGTTTGGGTAGAATCAGACTCCAGCATCGTACAGCAGAGGTTCCCAAACTCTAAGGAATATGAGCATCATATGGGAGCCTTCTTAAAAACAGACTCAGGGGATCACTCCAAGAAACACTGATTCTGTGGGCCAGAAATGGGGCTGTGAATCTAAACGGTCAACAAGCCTCACAGGCGATCACTGGATCACATTTTATAAACTTGGTTTCAAGTAAACAACATAATTGATTTCACAGTTATCTACATTATGCGATGTTCACCCCAACTAGCGTAATTACTATCTGTCAACAAATTCCTGGCAATATTGGACTCAGGGAACTAACACTTCTTAGAATTCAGATTCACAGACATAGTGGTTTCTATTCAAACAACTGTATTTAAACTTCTGTATTCAGATTGACTCAGTTGATTTAATTTGCACGTCTTTGATGAAGACTATGAAAGTCTTAGAGATGTGGGTCACAGTTTCTGTTTGCGAATCCAGATGCAATACGGTATGGAGCCAGACACGTTCCAGTTCCAGCTGATGTGGGCATCGCAGGGAAGGAGTTGATTTCATCCCAGAGTCTCAGGATTGCTGACAAGCTTCTTGCTCTGTTCCTCCCAGGTTTACTCAGTTTCCTTCCATTCTTGAGGTCTCTCTTCTCCCCTTACCCTTGGGACTCTTTTTCCTGCCCCATCAAAGCTGCTAGTCACCTTACCTCCATACCTGTTCTGTCTCTCTGCTAACGCATCTCAACGAGAATGTCTAGGGCTCAGAGTTAAGTCTTTAACCAAGATTCTTTCAGTCCTCTTGCTGGAGTTTTATTTCCTGGGTAAAGGATCCTGCAACCTTGCCTGGTTTTAGCTTTGTCCCAGGAACTCTCTGGAGGAGGGCCAGGTGCTTTGAAGTCTGAATTAGAGGTGTATTCCTGGTGTGTTTCATCTACTCCATGTCACAGTACTTTAAATCATGGTATATAGTGTATACTACACAGTAACATTAAATCATAGTCTGTTAGGCACTTGTCACCCAGAAACATACAGTCTCTCTGATTTAGGGGTTGATCTCAGTCTGCCAGTGACATCATAATAACTACGTAACTTGGAGTCCAATAACTGAATACCATCCATTTTCATCGGTCCCGACCTCTTTATTCGTGTTTGTTTTCTTTTGTTTTGTTTTAGATGATGAGGAACTAGTGGCATAGAAAAGTCCAGACACTAGATCCTGGGCACAGTTGAGGAAATACTAGAATAAACACATTGAGTTGGAGGCAAAAGAGGATTAGAACCTACAGCTGGCCTTTTATTACAAGACGTCCCTTCCCTCTCCACATCAAAATATGGTCAAAAAAGAAAATTTCCAATTTCTTCTACTTCTCAGATCATTTTTGGTTTGAATGATACTTCAGTTCTGTAAGCTTTATTTAGTAGCTCTTTGCTGGGCATGGTGTCTGACTCTGTAGGTAGAGAAATATATGCAATTGATCTGGTACTCAAAGAGTTCAGAGTCTAGTAATAGATACAGACAGGGAAATATATATTTACCACATGATATTAATGGTAGAAATAGATACCAGGTAGAGAAGGTCAAAGAAGCGTATATTAACAGGAAAAATATACACATGTGTGAAATACATGTATTTGTAATAGAGGGGAAGGAAACCAACACATAGCTTTGTAAACAGGACTTCTAATTCTGCACTTGTAAAGAGCTAATGTCTACCTAACTAGTTTGATATCTTTAAATTATCAAAGAAACAGTGTCTAATTAAGCATAAACATTTGTTTCATACACATATTGAGCATTTCTACTTTACCATTAGGTTTCAAGCTAATAACCTTTTAAGACGTAACTTATTCTGGAAAACATAGCTAATGTAAATAGGATTGGGTTTGAAAGCTTAATTAAAGATTCTAGGGACTTACCGGGGTTAGAGTATGTCCAATTAAAATGAGCTGCAGTTTGATTAATTGATTCTGGATGTTTCCACTGAGCTATTATGTTTGGAACTGTCTTCCAATTAATTTCCTATCAATTTACCTGCCATGCTATATCAGATATAATGAATTCTGGAACTTCAAAAACACTGGGTATCTTGCAAAACGAATGCCTAACCTTTCTCTGTGAATGAATAAAACTGAATCTGTTCACACACATGCCAGTATTGGGGTGTTGCCCCTAATAGGTGTGTTTGGTGCTGAGTAAAGACTGAGTCCAATCCTTTTATCGTGCTCATTACTCTCAGGAAGTGGGTCTGTGACAGATGCCATGGTCACAGGATTCAAGCTGGCTCTTTCCTATGCCAAATTTTTTTGTAGCAGGAAGACCTTTAATTTCTTAATGGCAAATTATTTATGTGCTGTGCTTGAATATTATTGAGGATTAATTGGAAACAACTATGCATTTGCCCAAGGGCCTTGGAGAAAGAAAGAAATCAAGAAGCCCACAGTTCTCTTTAAAATTTTAAATAGAAATTTGTCTGGCAAGTATTATAGGCTCTCCCTGACAGGGCTCTGTGGCTGAGGAAGGCAGGTAAGGCCCTGGCCACAGCAGTTGGGGCAGGAAAGCACTGGGGCACCCAGGCTGGGGCCCGTCAGCCAAGGGACTGAATCATGCATCGATCCTTTCCCCACCCAGCCATCCTGGGGGAAGACTTAGCCTTGCAGAAATGGCAGCATGAGTTAATGGAGAGGGCTATGGAAATGGAAGCCTCGCTATGGTTTTGCCATGGAATGTCCTTCACTGAGCAAAGCTAGGAGCAAGGGGACTGTGTTCTCCCTTAGGTTCAAAGAGCTGCTATGGTTGAAGGAGGCGGCTGGTGTAAGCAGCAGGGTCACAGGCAGACTCTCCATCACTTTTCCCTGAACCAGAGTCAGCGTGAGAACATGCCCAGCGCTAGGAGCGGCAGGGAAAAGTGGGTCTATTCAGACTTCTCTCATGTCAAGGCCTCTGGTGTGACCCTACAAAGGCCTATTTTAAAGAAATGAACAGTCGGTGGTATTGGTCATAGTCTTGTCTCAAGAAATCCCATTCGAATTCTGATGTCAGCCAATGGTCACTAAGATTTGTTCACTGGACCTGGAAAAGGACACTGGGAGCTTCTTAGGCTAATCATGAAAAAGACATCTCACGGAGGGGAGAAGAACATAGTAAGTGATGTGATTCCATTCAAGAGAAACTGGCTTTTACTGCCCTGTACTTTGGTAATGGGGGGAACATACTTACTACAAAAGAAAATTAGATTGAAACAAAAAATATTCAAACATAAAGCTGTTTGATCTTCACTTTCAGTTCCTGTAATTTGGCCTATCAAAAGTAAACTGAAAGCAAAAAGAAAAACACTAGAATATATTATAATTAAGAACTTCTGTTCACCAATAGGCACACTTAACAATATGAAAATACAATCCACAGAAAGAAGGTATTTGTAAAAGATTTCCCTGAAAAAGACTGATCCAAAATACACAAAGAATTTCCACGAATTTATTTTTCAAGAAAGACACCCCTGTAGAAAGTGGACAACAGATTTGAACAGCCCCATCACCAGAGAGGATCTCCAGTGGTCCACGGAGATCTGGCTGGGCCTCCAAATGCTCGCCATTCGCATACCCTGTGACCCAGTAATTCCACTGCTAGGTATACACCCAACAGAAATACAAGCAAATTGTTCACCACAAGGCCAGTACAAGGATATATTTGTCATATACAACCTACCCAAATGCCCATCCACAGTAAATAAATGTATCTTTGTACTGGTACTGCCAATGGCCTCAAGAGACCCCCAGGTGATACTGATGTGAAAATGAGGTTAAGAACCAACCTTCAGAGCTCCCTCATGCTTACAGCTCCACATTAACCTGTGTGTATGGCACTTAGAGATTATTTGCTCTAGATACTCAATAAATATTTGTAGATTTGATGCAATTCAAATGCAATGACATGTCTTCTGAGTTTATGTCAGGAGTTCTTACTTCTCCTTCCAGTCTCAGTCATGGAGTATTGAAATCGAGTTTGCCCCGTGTAAAAACCTGTCAGTGAAAGAATTTGCACTGCAAACAAAAATTGCAGAGTTGGTTGAATGAAAATCAATTCAAGGCTAATTCAAGAACCTTCTAAAAAGAAAAATGCTGAGTTTACAAACCAAAATAGAAAATGACCACTGTCACATTTCAGCTTTAAAAATGATTGATTCTGTTCTCTCCAACACTTCCGTGCCTGGAGAATGTTTGTGAGCATATGATAGCAGCAGCGTCTCGATATCGAGTCCTCAGTGTTAACTAGGTCAAGTGCATATGTTTAATACATCAATTAGCATCACGTCTCTAAACTTATTTTGAAGGTAATGCTTAGCACCTCTGAACCAGACATGTCATGAATCAGAGGATATGCCATAAATCACACGCAGACAAGAGAGGACAAAGTGAAAGAATGGGAAAAGGTCGGCAAAGACCCAGTGCCATAAGTAAGTACAAGAATGGAGAAAGATGGGCTGCGACTAGTGTGTGAGTCATCATTTGTATTATGAAAGCAACATAATGGCTGTGATTATTTGGGGAAAGAGGGGAGATGTCCACTGCATTGGGGTTTGCCGTTTCTAATCCGACTATCACATTAATGTTAACTTTTTTCACTTTTTCATATGTTTTTGTTCATTATTTTATTACTCCTTCACTCTGCATGGCATCCTACAGTTTAGATTAGTTGAGATAATTGTTCTAATATCTGGAACTACAGGGATTGCTAAAAATCCCTGTTCTGTAATTCTTTGCGAGTAGGCTAACACTAGCTGAATTTCTGAAACTATCATCTTATTCCTATTTCAATTGTCATAAATAATTATTGCCCAGTGGAATCATGTTTTCAGTCATGCTTTCTACTTATTTGTACTGATTGCTCAGAAGTAAAAACTTTAGTTTTACCTCACAATTTCACTCTGAAATGTGAACACTGGTTTGGAAGACAGAATGAAGCAAGCAATGGAGAATATATATCAGAATCTTTCATGTTATCCTATTACAGTGGACTCTTTTCAGAGACTGCCAAAAACTTGTATCTCAAAAAAAAAAAAGAGTAATGTCAATAAATATCATCAACATAGGCCTGGCTATGAGGTGGAGAATATAAAGTTAACATATATTAAAATTTCCACAATGTTTTACTTGTAGGTAAAAGCATTAATGATAGTATCATATCTTTATGAAGATAGAAACATATTTCTACATAATCTCAAATTTCTAATGTTTCACAGCATAGGGATTAGAACATAACTTTATTTGGTATTTGAATTATTCCACCATAGTGTTAGTGTTTTCTGCTAAATTTGTGTACAAACAAGAAGGTACATTTTTGGTAAACTTACTAAATGTTGGAATAATAACATGATCTATCTTAGAGTGATTAACACTAACCTGATCTTTCAGTTTTGTCCTGTGTTTAAAAAGAGTGTTTTCCATGTGGCTTAAACCCTTATCATCACCATTAGTGTCTGGATTTAAACATTTTTACTGGGAGAAAAAAGTTATGCTGAAAACTGTAGACCTACTCTTTGCAATTACGTTTATCTCATTCATTTGTCCTGAAACACAAATACAAACTGTAGTCATTATGCACACTTGGAAATACTGATTAACCATAATTATTTTTAAGATGGACAGGTGAACTACAAATTACACTCTTTAACTTCTAAGTTAGGGGAATGAATTTACCCTTTAAAATTTGAACCAGAAAATAAATTGTACCAGATTAAAGCAGAGACTCCCAGGCACCCAAGGAGTCATCAGCTCCAGGTGCGGACGTAACTCAAACCTAGTTGAAGGTATTACTAGGTGGGGAAACCGTTTCCAACAGCAAGTTCCTTCTACATCGGACGTGTGCTGGCACAGAACACATGAACAAGGAAGTGTGACGAGGTGGGTGTGATGACGGGGCGGGTGGGCTCTCACTGACGGAGGGGAAGAAGGTGAGATATTTAATATGGGCTATAAGAAGGACCAGGGATCTTGGGCAGCCTGGAGAGGATATGTTTTGTCGTACAGAATCTATCTTGCTGGTGTCAGGGAACAGCCTGACTCATACTACAAGTCAGAATAAAGGAAGAAAACAAGAAAAACTAACTTCAGTTGAAATTAAAAACTGGAAAATGATGTGAGGATCCCAGAGATCTGCAGAGAACTGCCTTGCCCGCGAGGACGTGACCGGGGCATGTAGTAACACACTGAGCAGTCCATTGCAACTTGTGCGCGTCCACGTTTGCAGAATGCCCCAAACTGCCTCATTCTTCACCTCAGCCCTGCCACCCCTCTTTCTCACGGGGACCACTGGAGCCTGCTTGTACCTCTGCCCTCTATCCATTCCTCACGGCAGCAAGAGGAAACACGGAGAGGGTACGTTTGATATGCCATTCCTCTGATCCCTAAAAATCCAGTCCCTCACCAAGGACTTACAAGGCCAGTATGCAACTTGGCAGCATTTCACACTCACACTGGTTCTCTCCTCCAGCCGCGATGACCTGCTCTGTGCTCCCTGACTAGCGAGGGCTCATGCCCACCGCACTGAGCATGTTCGTCTGCCTGGGATTCTCTGCCTTGAGATGTTCACAGGGTTCCCTGTCTTGTTTCATCCGGCCTCCATTCAACTGCAAGGTCCCAGAGAGCGCTCCTCTAGGTGCCCACTGGAAACAGAGGCCCCAGTCAGTGCCTGACTCTCTACCCTACTTTAAAAATAATCTTTATCATCATCTGAAATTATATATATGTACATATGTGTGTATATATATTGTAAACACACACATATGTATGCATGTGTGTATATATAATATAGATATATAAACCTATATTATATATAGATTTTTGTTTTACTTTTTTTTATTTGAACTCTTATTGGCTGCCTCTTGTCTCTTCCACTGAAATATACTCCTCTCAGGAAGGCAGAGAATGACTTTTTGGTCTTAGTAAGCGCTATGTTAAATTAGCTCTCATTGTTACCGATTTTTTACTCATTTTCACCCACTTTCATTAATTCAGTATAACCTTTTAAATTATCATTTAACTTCCATTGAATCTTCCTACTGGGAAGAAGTATTTCATTCAGAAGTTAAAAAAAAAAACTATTCTGATTTGTTTGGTAGTCATGTTGTAAATTGATAAATTAATACTTCGTCTTATACGTATTATTTTATTAACTTGGTTAGGGCCCTTTCCTAAGAGAATGGTCTACTCTTGTGGTAGAGAGGTAGAGATAAAAACAAGAGCCCTATGTGGCCTCTTGACAGCGGATGATCAGCCTCTACCTAAGACTGCCAGCCCTTTTTTAAACATAAGTCCTTTTTAATACCATCACATTAACCATGTCAATTTACTCAGTTGCCTGTAAGTAGGAAGGGGAACTGCAGAAACAGATTTTCATTAATAGCAGATGTTTTTCAGGGATTTTTCTTCTGCCTTTTTAAAACAAATTTCCAGCGACTTAAGCATAATAAAGATTTCCGTTTTTAAAACTTTCACATAACACAGTCATCCTTGAATTTGAACACATACAGGAATGTCAAAAGCCTAATCAGCTGCCTCCATAAACATGAAATCTCTCAGATTGTTATCAAAATTGTGACCTGTGATTGATGGCAACAGACTCAAGTCGGTCCTGACGCAGGATTCTGATATCATGACAATACTGCCCTCCCTTACAACTCCCCGAAATTAAGTCAAGGTCAGGCTTCTTATCTGACACAATATAGACATAGACTCCATTTCTATAAGGTTAAAACTCACACAAAAGATGAAAGGTCTTGTGCAGGCAAATGTAGCAGATTTCACTGAAAAATCCTAGGACTGTTCCAGCCTTCTCAATGTCCAAGAACAGTAAGGCTATTTCTAAGATACTGACAGATTTTAAATTGCCATACCTTTTGTTGAGGCCACGTCACATTTTTTTGTAATTCAAGAAATATCTATACCAATATCCTGACTGAGCCTCTAAGATGTTTTTCTTCTAACATGTATTTCTTCTCATGTATTCTTTATTATTTCCATACCCTTAAATAAGTCAGTCAAGTGGCCATAAGATCATGATTAGATTGTCTATTCAGCGCCTTACTCATAGAAGCTGTTCATTAAATATTGACAGAAAGAATAAATAATAGAAAAAAATGAGTCCATAAGCTCATTAGAAATCCCACTATATCACAAATAAGCTTCATCTTTTGCAGTGAGAAAGTGTTAACAAAACAAGTTATTAAGCAATAAAATGGGGATCTGATGTAATGGGGATCTGATTAATTTTGTTCTAGAACATCACTCTTAGAAATGCTTGAAATATAATTTCTGATCATTTATTATTTATCCTGCTTTATAGTGTTGTGCATTTACATTTAAATATATGAAAAGTGATCAAGTAAGAGATAATTCCTTGAACTTTACAGTCTGTAAGCTCTGTGAAGTAATTAGCAAAGATGCAAAATAAAACAAACACATCAGAAGGATTTCACTATCAAGTGCATAAATACCAAGTGAATGTGTTTAGAAAATAAAAGGAACAAGGCTTAGATATAAATACAAGGTAGGCAATCAGAAGTTCTCCAAAATATGGGCAAAATGAATGACACCAGCAGGACACTGGTGAGACAGGCCAAGCTATGGGTTTGCACACTTTTCTTCTGCTTTTCTTTTTTCTGTTCTTGGCCTGTTTTTATGGGGATCACTGGTTGGCATTAGCTGGAATTACCAGGAAGGTTCCTGGACTCCTCTGGGAACAGAGATAAACACCTCCAATATAACATGAAAAGCACTAATATAAAAAAAAAAAAACAGAAACAAATTTAGAACAGAGCACATAATCTGAAATATTAAAAATACAGATTTAGGAATTAGACAAACAGAAATTTGAATCTCACTTAGTCGGTGGATTTCTGGAGGCAAGTCACTTCAATCCTTTGAACCTTGACCTCATTAGTACAACAGGGATAATAATACCTATTTCCCAGTTTGGGTCTGAGGAAGAAATAAAAAACCCTGGCACAGCCTGGAATATATGTTCTCAATGATCAGGGGTTTGTGGTTGTTATTATCATTATTTTCAGTTGGTATCATTTTATTTGGCCCATCTCTGCACTTACATGACACAATTAAATAACAAACTGCTGACAGAGCTTACCCACAAAGAGCTGACTGTTCAGCTGTAAAAGGACATGCCCATCAGCTGGAGCGGGTTGTATCTTTGGTGGGAGCTGGTCCACTTGAATTGATGCCTCTTTCATGTTCCTTTCGACTCGAACATGGTGCCACTGATTGTCATTGAAGTGAGCAGGTGACTGCACTGAGATTTCAAAAGGCCCATTCCCCACGTCAAATGAAAAGGTCACCACTGCTGGAGCTGGAAATCATAGATACAAAGAAGCTTGTATCAGGTTAGTGCCTGTGGTGGGGAGCTGAGCTTCAATATCCTTAGGAAGAGCCCCACAGGAGAGCAATCACTAAATATAAAGATAACGGTTTGAATCCTACACAAGGAAACGAAGACATTGATAAAGGACAGACACAGAAGGAGACAGCACAATGTATTTGGAAAATAACAGATTTCAAGAAATTCGCCCTCTGAGTTAATTTTTCATATTGATAAAGAGCAAAGCTATTTAGCCAGGGCCACAAAACTAAACAGCCTCTGGCATTTTCGGTAAAAAAATCATTTAAAATATTTTATTATTTAATTTTATAATAATTTACCTAATTTTAAAAGCATGCAATACATATTTGCTATGAAGATACTAATAGCAGTCTAAGACAATGTCAAAATCATGGCTGGTTGATTGACTTTTGCAATTAACTGAGAATTTAATTTAAAAAATGTTTCAATTATTTGAATTTAAAACCCCTCCTAAATTGGTTCTAGAAGATACCAATAATTTTCCCTAATTATCACATATAAAGCATTAAATTATCTTCTTGCAAAAAAGGCTAACTTTAGTAGAATTTTTTCCAAAGGGACACAATCAAATGATTCAGCTGATAAGGTAAAAACAGAGTACTCTAAAAATTAGTTCAAGGATTTTCTACTAAATAGAATCCCACAGACTGCTAAGAAAAAGGAAACTTACAGAGTAGCTCTATCCGTATAAAATCGGTAATCCCCAGGTTCTCTAAAAACACCCCAGAAGAAGCTGTTGTCTTAAAAAAGAAAGACACATCTGCACTAAGCTCTCCGTGGAAAGTAGGAAAATGAAGGTATGACGCCTCAGTGTCGAAGGAAGCTGAATTCCAAAATGGCCCTGTGTTTTTAAAAGGGAAAATATTTAAAAAGAAAAATTCATGAAATAAACTGACATATTACATTTTCCATTTTTAGCATATTTATTAAACATACTGCTAATCTATACAAACTCGCTTTTCTTTTTTTTATTAACTATAGACTATACAAGACATGAGCATACAATGGAGATATTACGAGGATTGCAATCCTGGATTCCTTCCAAAACAGGAGAGGGATGATCGCTGCAGAAATGGTCTGAATGTTGTATTTTATATACGAAAAACAGCCTCAGCCTAAATACCATCACCTGCCGAAGTGATATGATAAGGACCTGCCAAACATTAATAGACTCAATCTTTACAGCTTCAAATTTTAAACACCTACTTTACTTTGAATAACAAAAACTCTTAGGAAGCTTGGGGTGTTTTTTGTTCTAACACTTCTAACATACACACTTCACAGACTTACACCCTCAATTAACTGTTTTCATTAATAGGCCTTGTGATTTGCTAAACCGAGATTGGCATTCAAAATATTCCCAACTAATTAAAGACAATTACTCTGTACTATGCTGATATTCTTAGGAAAATGCACTTGTCATTCAGTTATTTTACTTTGCTTATAGTCGTGAAGTAGATCAAGAGTAGGAAAAAAGGCTCTCAAAAAGTTTAAAAATGTTCTAAATCGGGAGAAAAGGTGTAAAAGGCTGGGGTATAAACTAAGATACGTGAAAAAATTACATGCACTATAAATTTAATAATAATTTCTGTCCAAATATAACTTCTGGTCTTCACTCTCCCGTTCTTTTTGTTGTCTCTACAACTTCCCTTTTGAAAACAACACTGTGAGTCTTAATATAGCAGAAAGTATGGGAAGTAAAATATAAATGCAGCGGCATGAAGTGACAGGAGTGAAATCCAACGGATCATGTGTGGTTGATGAGAACGATCACCAGAGAAATGAAGTATATGCATCGTCGCTGTCACCAGCAGGTTCCTGACACACCAAACATCATACACATCGTGGGTTTTAACCCACCGCACTCATAACACTGGATAAAATTCTCCTATCTAAATCATCTTCCTGGGGGAAAGATGTATTGATCCTCTAAAGCTAGAAAACAGTAATTTCAAAACAATGGTTCATTATGTTAGCAGAGGACGGATACCTAGCTAGAGTTAAAAATCACCCACTTGACTCAGCTTCTCTTTGTTCCTTAGGTTTTAATATAAATTCTGGACCAAACACACAGTGCTTATGTCTGTCTTATTTTTTCTGTTTTTCTTATGGACCTGACTCAAAAGTCAATTCTCAGCTCATCTGTGGACAATTTTAGAGCTGAAATTATTCAACTGAGAATATTCTTTGAGGGCTTGGTTTTTTTCCTACAGCCAAGAAATTGGATATTATCTGAGTATGTCAAGCCTGGTCCTTGTTTCCATTTCACAGTTATTTCTACGCATCGACATTTTGATCTCTAGGAAAGAATGCAAGCAAATGCAAAATATCAAATCAGGGATTACAACACATTTGTTCTCTGGAAAATTCTTACCTGACCTATTTTTGGAAGGAATTGAATAAATGTCTTTCTGTTGAAATGTTATATATATGAAAATTAAAATAAAGCTATAACATTAAATTATGGGATAATATTAAATCTTACTTATTTGGTCAGCTTATTCAGAATTAAAGGACTAAATTAGATAATATTACTGTAAGACATAATATTTCACTTGTTTCATTTTATATCACAACCTACCCAATAAAATATGATCCAGAAGGTTTTGGGGAACGAGCCGAAGGAGAGGAATAATTCTTTGAATTGCTATCTTTACAATGAGCCCTTTTAACAGAGTGAACACAATTTTATTACCTTAGGAAGCTGAAACATTCTCAGACACATAATAGAACCTATTTTGTCTAGTTAGCAAAGCTTATTGTACAGATTCACAATAGGTAAAAAATGAAGAACATTTTTATTGGATCAAGAAATTGCTAATTCAAAACAGTTATAAAGAAAGCAAAGGCCAATATTTTCATGATCACGTACTGTTAATGGTATATGAGATTTCAGCTCTTTACAGACTGTGCTAAGAGCCGAAGACACTGAGCTGCCTCAGAGAAAGGAGGGGCCAGGAGGAGGGGACAGCAGAGCCCAGCAGGGAGCAACAGGCCTTCTGAGGAGAGGAGGGTGTGGCTAAGGTGGTTTAAAACCCCTAGGAAGCTCCAGTCACAGATCTGGATGCAACCACTTGTTGTATGAGTTCAAGTTAGGAGGGGAAGACCCCTTTTATCAGCCCAACAAAAACAAATCATGATGTATTATTCTTTGTAATTAATAATTACTAAATCATTTTCTAAAGGAACTAATACTATATTTCTAACTAAATTGAATATAGGGTCCTAGAAATTTGGAAAGACTCCTTCAGGAATGCCACCTTTTGTCTTTCCAGAATTAAAAAAAAAAAACTGTCACAGGTGACAGGATCCTTACAGTTATTTACATAGAAGAGGAAGATGTACTAAGTATTTAAAGCCATATATAAAGTAAAAAGAGCTTGCTTGGGAAAATAAAATTAGTGGAATATTGAGATTACACGTGATTTTTCTAATATTTCTTTTGCTAAACTTTAATTTATACTATTAATAAATCATCCTTTAAAAAATAACAGACTTACAGAGACTGAAATTAGATTAGGGTTTTCCTAGGGCTACGGAATTGGAGGAATTGAAGGATGACAGGTAGGGGAATGGAGTGCAGAGTTCTTCAGGGGTTAATGAAAATGTTCTAAAATTGATTGTAATGGTTATACAATGCCATGAATATACTAAAAGTCATTGACTTTATATGGGTCACTTGATGTGGGTGAATTGTATGGGCTGTGAATTATCTCTCTATAAAGCTGTTCTTAAAAAATATTACTTTTTAAGACAGTATGTTCTACACTTAAAATCGAAAGGCATATGATATGCCAACACTACCTTTCTTTTTTATACCACTTTATCAAGGTATGATTGACTTACAAAAAGCTAATGTATTTAATGTATAAAACTTGGTGAGTTTCATAACACTACCTTTCTTAGAAGTAATTAAAGTAAAATGAAATAGAGAAATGCCAAAGCCAAGGGGTCATTTTCTAGCCAAAGGAATCTTTCTGAATGCAAAAGAATCATTTTAAAAAGCTGGAAATATGGATTTCTTTAACTAGAATTTTTACTTTTGAGATCATTGTAGATTTTCATACAGTTGTAAGAAATAATAGAGAGATTCTATGTACGCTTTACTAGTTTTCCCCAGTGGTAACATCTTGCAAAACCATAGTACAACATCAAAACCAGGATATGACACTGGATACAGTCAAGATGCAGACCATTTGGATGACCCCAAGTATTCCTCAGGCTTCCCTTTATGGCTGCACCCTCTTCTCTCCTGCCCTCCCTGCCCTCTGTAACCCCATGGCAACCATTTGAAGACTCTTCTACAAATAAAGGCATATGGCATGCAGCTCTTTGAGACTGATGTGCTTTTCACTCAGAATTACTCTCTGAAAATTCACCCAGGTTGATGTGTGTATCAATAATTCATGCTTTTTCATTGCTGAGTAGTATTCCATGGTATGGATGTACCAGAATTATTTCAGCCATTCTCTTGTTGAAAGACATCTGGGTCATTTCCAGTTTTCAGCTATTACCAATAAGGCTGCTTCAAACATCCATGCACAGATTTTTGTATGAACACAAATTCCCAGTTCTCTGGGATAAATGCCAATGAGTACAATCACTGGATTGTATCAGGGCTGTGGGCTTTCTTTTTAAAAAAACTGCCAAACTCTTTCCAGGCTGGCAGTGATCCAGTTTCCCAGGAGTGATCCAGTTTCTCCACAACCTGGCCAGAATTTTGTATTGTCACTGTTTTTTGGACAATACATTTTGGATGTTGTGTAGTGACATGTCATTGTGGTTTTAATATACATTTTCCCAGTGGTTAATGATTTTGAGTACCTTTCCATGTGCTTATCTGCCATCTTTATTCCTTCTTCTGTGAAGGGTCTTTTCATGCCTTCTACCCATCGTATCCCCAGCTTGCAGATGGCTACCTTCTCACTATGTCCGCACATGGCCTTTCCTCTGTATTCGGTTGGAAAGCGAGAGCTCTCTGGAGTCTCTTCCTCTTCTTATAAGGACACCAGTGCAAGCAAATTAGAGCCCCACACTTATGACCTCATTTAACTTAGCTTCCCTCCTTGAAGACCCTACTCTACTGCTTAATACAGTCACATCAGAGGTTAAGACTTTGACATGAATTTTGGAGGTGGGGAAATACTTCGGTCCATAACATCCATATGATAATTGATTGTTTCCCTTTTCTCTGCTGTTAACTTTTGAGGGTTCTTTATGTATTCTAGATGCTAGTCCTTTGTCAGTTCTTGACCCTCATCTTACTTAACCTATCAAGTAACATAATTAATTGTTCTCCTCTCTATGAAACATTGTCTTTACTTGGAGTCCAGAATACTAGCATCGTTTGCCTTTGTCATTAACAGTACATTTTTAGTTTTCTTTCTTTCTTCCTCCTTACCTCCAACTTATCAATGTTGGAATGTTCCAAGGCCCTGTCATTACACTTCTCCATCCACAGTAACTCCTGCTGGTCCACCTTGTGGCTTTCAATATGCTGATGACTCATAAATATATATCTGAAGCCTGGAACTGTAAAACAAATAACCCTACCATTTCTATCTGAATATCCAGTGGCACCTCAACTTAAATTCCTCTGGGACTCCTTTACCCCAGCAGCAATCTTCTCCATCTCCATTAGTGCCAACTCTATGCCTCTAATCGACTGCTAGACCTAACACCTTGGTGTCATTCTTGACTCTTTCTTTTGCAACGTACATCTATCCAGCAGCAAATTCTATTGCTTCTCCTTCTGAACTATACCCATATATAAATATCATCACTGGCCCATGGCCCAAGCCACCACAATCCCTCCGCTGGGCTGGCGGAGTGAGCTCACCA